GCCTTCGGACAGCACTCAACCTCCGGCAGCAGGTGCATGACGTGGTGACGCTGGTTCAGCTCCAAACTCTGCGACATCAAATAGTAGCCAGCCGAGGAGCGCTCGTCCCAATCTTCCTGCAGCGCGGTCTAGGCTCCTCCCCAATCATTAGTTTCAGCAATCCGATCTGACGGAAATAGAGTTGCATCTTCCAGGCCAAATCATCATAGCCCTCACCATTGAACTTCTCGACGGTGAAATTCTTCAGCACCTCCTTGACCTGCGAGCCCAGGTTTGTTCGCGCTCCCCTTGGCGCTGAAACACCAGAATCATGGCTTCCGCTACGATCTTGGGCTGAAGATTCACCAGCTACCGTCGAGGTGTTGCCCGCCATAGCTACCTATATCGAGGATCACTATCACGCAGCTCTGATACCAGCTTGTTGGTGTAAGGGCCTAATAAATTCAAGCTATAAAGACTTTATCACACTTAAAACCTCTCCTCGGGGTCACCTCCAAGGGTCCTTGGGTGCCTGGTACAAGACCAGCCCCTATCCTTGGGTCCGAGTTTATAAAGAGAGGGATCAGGAGGGACTTAGTCAAAACAGCAAGAGTACCTTGAACGTCGCGCTGTGTATCGTGCAGACCGTCGACCGGATTAAGCTGAGAATTTCCTATATCGAAGCTCACTCTAAGAGCTTTAAAATAAGCCAAGTTGCCTCAAGAAAAAATCTCCCATTATAAAGTTATGGCTCGGACAGCGTTAGCCTAGCGTTGAAGTGCTAGCGTACTAGCGTTGACTCGGGTAGCATTCCGCCGTCGCACCGCGTAGAAAGGAAATTCCAGCAAGGAAGGAATTCGCTTGAATCAATTTCACTATATCTAGGTACAAACAGAGAAAGAATATATAGTTCTAGCTAGCAAGGACCTTGGGAATAAACCTGGGAACAACCAAGGATGATCCCAAATAATTCCAAGCAATAGAACCAACCAGGCTGGACAAAACAGAAGGTGGTAGGTTGGTAAACAACCTCTGGTTCTGTTTTTCCAACCTGGGAAAACAACAACCAGGTTCAGGTCCTAAAAAAAGAACCTGTTTTGTCGTTGCCCAACCAGCCAAATGCTGGTTCCGCTGGTTTCCCCTGGCCCTGTAGCATGCAGATACAGACAAACAACATCCAACCTTCACCTAAATTGTACCCCTATAGTGCCTGCCCTGCTACACTATAGTCAACCAAACAAAACAGTATAATTTCGAGTTGGATAGAACTGAATCTGCGCAATCAAGTAAGCCGAACCGCAAAGCTACCATCTTGGGTTCCTTTGCAAGCTCGTCCTTTCTGCTTGTACAGTATATAGCGCGTACAATGTTATGCCGAAGCGCACAATGCGCGAGTACCTGGAAATGCAAAATTGCGAAAGCAAACAAACACACGAACATTCCATTCATACCCAAAAGCATTCGCACACGCATACTCGTACAAACAGACGGCAGGATGTCGTGCAATGTGAATTTGCACCCAACACACTCCCCCTCAGCCTGCCGGCTGCATCCCCATCATTCCATACTAGTTCATGCTCATTCCACTCATGCGCACACAACGCCAATGAGGCTCATCCGCAAGCCTCTTGGTGAGGAGGTCTACTGGCTGCTGGTGAGTCTTGATGTAGATCGGATTCACTGTCCCCCTCTTCACCTCCTTACGCAGCCAGTGCTACTTGATACGCATGTGCTTATTGAGCCCATGAAGCACAGCATTCCTGGCCATTCCAAGAGCTCCCTTGCTATCACAAAACAGCGCCGTAGCAGCCTTTTGCTCCTGGCCAATCTCTTCCAACAGCCTCGTCGGCCAAATCACCTCCTTTTCCCCATGGAACATCGCCATATACTCAGATTCCACAGAAGAGATTGCTGTCTCCGTCTGCTTCTTTGACCTCCAACTAACAAGTCCTCCCCCAACTACACAGATGTATCCTCCCACAGATGAGGAATCCTCCTTCTCAGAGGCCCACGTAGCATCCGTAAAGCAAGTGAGAAACAGCTTGCCTTCTCCAAGCCTCTCCGCCTTCTCTTTCAGCACCTCAACCCCTGCACATTCTGGATCTCCTTCATGCTACTGCTAAAGAGAAGAATATCGTCCACATAGACCAGAAACAGCACCAGCTTCTCCCCCTCCTCCTTGAGAAAGAGGCTCTCATCACAGCTGCTGGTCCTGAATCCCATCTCCTCTAAAACAGCTGCCAACTTCTGGTACCAGCAGCATGGCGCCTGCTTTAAGCAGTAGATGGACTTTTTCAACTTGCACACCCAGTCTGTACCATCCTCATACCCAGGAGACTGCGTCATGTACATATCCTCCTCTAAAATCCCATTGAGGATTGCCCTCAACAAACTTCACATCCCTACTGTCAAACAACACACCCTTGGAAGGTTCCTACAGCAGCCATCTTTTGCTCTCAGAAGCTAGCCCCAAATGCACACACCAGATTGCACTCCCCCCTAACTTACTGCGGTAGGTCTTGGGGACGTGGGCGACTGCCATGCAACCTCCATCGGCGGCTTCCTCCCAAGCCACCCCTCCAACGGCACCCACAAGTCATCCCCAACCTTGGTGAGTACCCCTCCTAGAGACGGTAGCGTGCTGAACAGCATGGGGCCACATCAAATTGCCCAGCCCAGATTCTATGAGCAGCGCCCTAGCTATCTCCAGAATTGTCCGGTTTGCCCGTTCTGCTATACTGTTAGACAGTGCGGTGTAAGCCGTGGTTAGGTTGACAACAAACGAGGAAGGAATCTATTGTGCAGAATAAGGAGTACAAGTAGTAAACCCTAAAGTGTTGTACCCCATATGAACTGCCCCATTACAGCCTCAACATACTATAGCATATATGCCTTATACACCCCCATAGGCAAAGTGGGGGAGATCGAGGGGTCACAAGACCAGTCAAGCAAAGCAAAGCAAGCTCAGGGTGGATCACAACGTCACCACACAGTCCGAGCACAAGAGCAAGGCCACAAGGTCAGTTGACATGCTAGATCATATATATAAAGGTAAACAAGCAAGTGCAGGTATAGAAAGAGTACAGTACAAACAAGGTCAAGAAGTGAGCAAGTGAGGCCAAGTAGGCACAAGACCTAGCATAGCACAGAGGCATTGATGATCACAAGGCGGAAGGGCCATGGTAAATATATCAGCAGTGTTGGCCTCAGAGGCGACGTAGGTGAGGCGGAGCTGACCACGCCGCTGCAGCTCACGAGCCAGGAAGTGGCGAAGAGCAATGTGCTTCGTTCTGTGCTCAAGTCTGTGCTCCCAACACAAGGCCAGCATGGCCTGTCTACGTACAGAACTGGAAGAGAACGAGGCGGCTCTCCTAGGTCAGTCAGCAGGTAGGTGAGCCAGCGTAGCTCCTGTGCAGCCATGGCCCCCGCGTAGATCTCAGCCTCACAGCTGGAGGTGAGAACAGAAGACAAGCGGGTAGACCGCCACAAATCCGAGCCGGAGCCAAGGCTGAAGGTGTAACCCACCGCTGTATCGGCTGGTCGTCAGCCCAAGAAGCATCAGCGTGACCTGTGAGGACCACTTAACGTCGCCCTCCAAGCACTAGCCCCATGCTCGACGTACTGCACACGTAGCGCATCACCCTCTTCGCTGCAGCCAAGTGCTCTGGTCAGTGTCTCTCAGGAGCAACATAGCGTGCCAAGATGCTAAGAGGGTATGCAAGGTCAGATCGTGTGCAGGTCATCAGATACATGAGGCAGCCAACAAGCCCTGGGTACGGGCCACTCGGCTCTACGGACTCATCCGAAGGCAGAGCTGAGAGCGAATGGCGAGTAGACAGAGGAGTGGCCTGAGGCGAGGAGTACGTGAAGTCGAAGCGCTGAAGGACCTGCTGCATCATGTGTGACTGAGTCAGGGTAATGGTGCGCTGTGCTCTGTCCCGGGTGATCTGCAAGCCAAGGTAGCTGCGCAGTTCACCCAGGTCTGTGCACGTCTGTCTCTTCTGCAGCTCGGACTTCACGTGGGTGAGTCCGGCAGTGTCAGCAGCGGCAAAGACCAAGTCGTCGACGTATACGAGGATCTAGAACGGCGGCAAAGAGGTGTCGGTGCGCAGAAACAGCGACGGGTCGGCTGTAGAAACAAGAGATGAGGCAAAGCAGCAGCAAAACACTGGAACTCCTCCTGCCTGTCCTCAAGGATGTCCGTGCTAAAAGCACACTCACCCCAGACGGACAGAGGACAGACAGACTCAGACTCAGCAACAAGACTAGTGGCATTGTCTAGACAAGAGCGAGCAGCGAAGTCGACAAGCTCAGCGACTAAGGCAGACGCAGCACTGGACTCAAACGAAGGGTCAGTGACAACAGTGGCCAGGAGACGCGTGGCAGCACGAAGAGAGTCAGACTCAGGGTCTGGAAGGACAGGAAGAGAGGACTCTGGAGGAGACGGCAACGGGAGATGCAGAGGAGCAATGGAATGACGCAGTCCCATCTGGTGTGTGCCTGGAACCGCAGGAGGACGCAGAACACGACGAGTAGTGCGAGCAGTGCGAACAGGCGACGCAGGACGAGACGCAGGCTCACGATGCTCAGCAAGACCTCCAGTAGGACCAGTGTAGGGAGAAGGAGCGGGAAGAGGGGAGGCGGGCTGTAACTCTGACTGCGACTGGACGGGCAGAGGACACTCCAAGGGAGGAGCAGGACCAGTAGAGGGCGGGAGACCAAGAACCTGCTCAAGGAGCGGAACGAAGTACGGACTCGGCCGCACAGCGCCTCGAGAACCAGCTGGGACGGCACTAGTACCCCCAGCAGCAGCACCAGCGCCAGCCGCATCTCCAGCTCTAACAGCGTCAGCTCCAGCACCCTCAGACGCATCAGCGCCAGCAGAAACACCAGCGCCAACACCCCCAGTAGCTCTAGCTCCAGCAGCTCCAGTAGTACCAACTCGAGCAGGACCGGCAGCTCTTGATCCCTCTCTCTACAAACTCGGACCCGAGGATAGGGGCTGATCTTGTACCAGGCACTCAAGGACCCTTGGAGGTGACCCCGGGGAGAGGTTTTAAGTTTGATAAAGTCTTAATAGCTTGAGTTTGTTAGGCCCTTATACCAACAGAGCCGACGTAGTACCTGAGAGCGCAGACTCACCAGCACTTGGGGTAGCAGACCACTAGCACCTAGTGCAGCAGACGCACTAGCACCTAGAGCAGCAGCCTCACCAGCACCTAGAGCAGTCGCCTCAATGCCCGGTTCAGGCGGTAAACACAGGTAACAGTCACCCTCAACACTAGTAGTCACAGAATACATGGCAGCAAGGATAGCATCATAGTCAAGATCAAAGATGGCAACCCCCGCCCTAGACAGATCTCCCCAGCGAGGGATCTCTGACGCCTCAGGCAACTGGCGACGCCACGCGTCCGTCAGGCGACTGAAGCAGTGCTGGGTGGAGTGCGGGCCCCCGCACTGCTCACCAGCTCGACCGCTAGTACGGAGGACGTAACTGCAGGGACCAGTACCCCCACTGCGCTGACGTGCAGCGTACCACTCATGAAGCTGCTGAGGGGACAGGGTCACACCACTCCGCTGCTGCTGGCGCGGACCACCACCTGACCCACTCCTCTGCGCAGAGTCGCGACCCGCTCCACCACTGCCGCCGCCGCCGCCTCCGCCGCCTCCTCTACCTCCGCCTCCTCCGCCACCTCCGCCGCCTCCGCTCCCTCCGCCTCCACCGCCGCCTCCTCCGCCTCCACTGCTGCTGCCGCCGCAGCCACCCCCGCCACCACTCCCACTACCACCCCCACTCCCTCCACTGCCTCTACCACCACCTCCACCAGCCCCTCCAGCGCCCTTGCCCCCCTTGCCCTTGCCGGTGCGGCGTCTTCCGCTAAGGGCAGACGCAGCGCCGACCGACTCGAAACCAACGAGGTCGGCCGCAGCAGCAGAAGCAATAGAGGGCAAGAGGGGGGAGGGGGAACACCCCTCAAAGACGGGGGTGCGAGGGTCACCACGAGAGGCTCCTACAGCGACTATGCTCTTCTTTGCTGCTAGGAGGCCCTTCTCGAGGAGGTCAACGGTGAGAGTGGTAGGGCAAACTGAGAGGAAGTGGTCCCTGACTACGTGGAGAGAGTCAGGGAGCCGGGTGACTATATAGTAGAGGGTGATGTACATGGGGGGGGGGGGGGGGTTCTTGGCGCAAAACTCAGCAGGAAGCGCAGCGCGGTAGCGAGTGTCACTAGTGCGGAGGTGCATAATGAGGTCATCGACTATGGGAAAGGCAGCAAGGTCGGGGAAGAGGTACGGTAGCATGAGGCGGCTCAGTGCAGTAATGGCAGGGGAAGAGTAGCGTGCAACTACAGCGTTGTACAAGGTCTGAGCACTCTTGTACTGGCTAAAGTGTGCACGCTCAGTGGTTGGTAAGTGGCGACGCACAGCAAGACGGGCAGCAGCATCGCGTGTCGCCCAGTGTGAGCGAACAGTGCTGTCAGCAGTAGCAGACGGGGCAGGGGAGGCACTAGAGGTGAGGTCGAACAGAGAGAGGCCGTCTGCCCTATCGCACTGGAGGAATAGCTGGAGATCATCGACCAAGACCTCAAAGTCAACGGCACGGCCCTCAGTATCAAAAGTAAGAACACTGGGGGTAGCCATGACTGCAGTGGCCTACGAAGGAGTGAGCTCACCAGTAGGAACAGCAGCGGATCGACAGTAGGGCGGCTCGGCGGCTGGTCGGCTCGGCTGCTGGGCGGCTCGGCTGCTGGGCGACTCGGCGGCTCGGCTGGTGGGCGGCTCGGCTGCTCGGCGGCTTGGCTGCTGGGCAGCTCGGCTGCTGGGCGGCTCAGCTGCTCGGCAGGTGGGCGGCTCGGCTGCTGGGCGGCACAGCTGCTGGGTGGCACAGCTGCTGGGCGGCTCGGCTGCTGGGCCGGTGGAGGCGGCGACCTGGCCGCTAGGAGAGGGCGACGGGGCCGTAGGTGTCGGCGAGGCCATAGGTGGCGGCGAGGCCGCAGGTGGCGGCGAGGCCGCAGGTGGCGGCGAGGCCGCAGGTGGCGATGGGGCCGCACGTGGCGGCTGCATGGCCGCAGTTGGCGGCGACGGGGCCGCAGGTGGCGGCGGGTTGGCCGCAGGTGACGGCGACGGGGCCGCAGGTGACGGCGACGGGGCCGCAGGTGGCGGCGACGGGGCCGTAGAGGGGCCGCAAGGGGCCTAGACGGGGCCGCAGAGGGGGCCGCAAGAGGCCTAGACGGGGCGGCGATGGGGCCGTAAGGGGCCCAGACAGGGCAGCGACGGGGCCGTAAGGGGCCTAGACGGGGCGGCGACGGGGCCGTAAGAGGCCTAGACGGGGCGTTGACGAGGCCGTAAGGGGCCGTAAGGGCGCATCGAGGGGAGCCGACGGGCGTCGCGGGGGGGCCGTAAGGGGCCGTAAGGGCGGCGCGTGGGGCTGTAAAGGGCAGCGCGAGGGGCCGTAAGGGCGGCGTAAAGGGCCGTGAGAGGGGCCGCTAAAGGCGACGCGAAGGGGCCGTGAGAGGGCGCGACAGTAGGGAGGGCACACAGAGCGCGACTCCGGCAGCAGCGAAGCGCGCTCCAGGCAGGAAAAAAATATCGTGGTGGGCCCTAGGAATCGTTCCCACTAGGGAACCTGCTCGATACCATGGCAAGAAATGAGGAAGGAATGCATTGAGCAGAATGAGGAGTACAAGTAGTAAACCCTAAAGTGTTCTACCCCATATGAACTGCCCCACTACAGCCTACACAGACTATAGCATATATGCCTGACACAGCTCCCTCTGGATGCCCTGCTTCTTGAGCCAGGCAGTCATCTCAGCTCCAAGGAACTCACAACCCCGATCTGTCCTAATCCGCTTCACCACACGATCCGCTTGCTTCTCTACGAACGGCAGCCAATCTTCCCGTATCGTAGATGCGGCAACGCCCTGCTTCAGCGGACATGCCCACATAAGCCTGCTCCAATCATCCACTATGGTCAGAAAGTACCGCTCCCCCTTGTGCCCCTGAACCGGCAGCGGCCCAACCAAGTCCAAGTGGACCAACTCCAACTGCTTCTTGCTCCTGCCAGCCACACTATGGAAGGGGAAACGGGTGAATTTGGATAGCAAGCATATTCCACAGTTATCATCAGGTGGCTGTCCGTTCAGCTTCAGACCCTTAACGACTCCATTTTTCTCCAACTGCTTCAACTAAGGCATTGCTACATGCCCCAAGCGTCAGTGTGCCGTTGCCCAATCCGTCTCCCCAGATCTGGCCGACACTTTCACACCAACCCCTCCAACGGCGTTGCACTCCCCCTGGGATGCAGACCCCTCTCCAGCCTGCCCCCCGCCATGCCACGCCAATGCCGGCAGCTGCCACATGGATCTGTACACGTCCGTGCTCTCGTGCAGATCCCAATGCACCCGATTGCCCAGCTGCCCCTCGTAAGTGCGTGCCCCATCCGTGCTAGTGCTCACCCCAGCCTTGGCAAGCTTACGGAGGGAGATGAGGTTCGCGTTGAGTTCAGGATCAAAGTGAACGTCGTGCAGCACCATCGGCTTGCCATCCGCTACCTTAAACGCAGCTCGTCCCGCACCAGCCACCTTCAGCGCGTGTCCAGAGGCGGAGCACACTTCGTTGATCAGTGCAGCGCGTACGTGGTCCAGCAGGTCCTTGCGTGGTGATATCGTCCAGCAGCGCCCGTGTCCAACACCCAATAGTCCAGGGGGTGCAGCTCTGCTCCAACCTTGGCAGATGCGTCTCCTTGCTACCCCTGCTCTCCAATATGGAAGAATTGGCCCGCGGTGCGCTCCTTCTTCTTCTCCGCACCGCCATTGCTCTTCGGGTTGTTGTCGGACGAATCGGCGACCATCTTCGCGTTTTTTCTGGTTCCTCCGCGCACCGCCATCCTGGTGACGATTCTGGGGGGTCCATCCATCAGGTTTCTTATAGCACAAAAACCACGGGTGCCCCTCCTTCTCACAATACCAGCAACTCCCTTTCATTTTGCCACCAGCACCCGACTTGCCCCCACGTCCAGATTTCGTACCGCGACCCCAACCAATACCTCCTTGTTGGTCGTTGGAGTCGTCATCCTTTTTTTGCACCGCGTCCAGCACCACCAAAGCCACGTCCTCTGCCATGTCGGCTCCCTTTCATCCCGTAGCTTGCCGTCGTCTCCACCCCTCAGTTGGCGGCGACGGAAGTCCTCTAGAATCTTTGTCCGCACCCACTCTAGTGTCCACGAGCTCTGGTTCTGCGGCAGGCTCAATCCGCTCGTAAATCGAAGCCACGATTCCGGTAGCAGCGAGAGCATCTTCAAGCACTTGGTCTGCTCCGGGTAGGTGATTCTCGCGGTCGCCAACTTCGCGTAGAGGTCACGCATCTTGTCCAGGACAGGTTGCATCGGCTCTCCTTCGCTCAAGTACAACATGAACAGCTCCCTCTCCAGCATCATCGTTGCAACAACGGAGGTTGGGGCGTGCAGCTCCTTCAACACAGTCCACCCCTTCGGGCCGCACTCAACCTCCGGCAGCAGGTGCATGACGTGGTGACGCTGGTTCAGCTCCAAACTCTGCGACATCGAATAGTAGCCAGCCGAGAAGCGCTCGTCCCAATCTTCCTGCAGCGTGGGGTTACTCGGTCTAGGCTTCTCCCCAATTATTAGTTTCAGCAATCCAATCTGATGGAAATATAGTTGCATTTTCCAGGCCCAATCATCATAGCCGTCACCATTGAACTTCTTGACGGTAAAATTCTTCAACACCTCCTTGACCAGCGAGCCCTGGTTTGTTCGCACTCCCCTTGGCGCTGAAACACCACAATCTGGGCTGCCGCTACGATCTTGGGCTGAAGATTCACCAGCTCCCGTCGAGGTGTTGCCAGCCATAGCTACCTATATCGAGAATCACTATAACGAAGCTTTGATACCAGCTTGTTGGTGTAAAGGCCTCAAGCTTTTAAGACTTTATCAAACTTAAACCTTCTCTTCGGGGTCACCTCCAAGGGTCCTTGGGCGCCTAGTACAAGACCAGCCCCTATCCTCGGGTCCGAGTTTGTAGAGAGTGGGATCAAGAGGGACTTAGTCAAAACAGCAAGAGTATCTTGAACGTCGCGCAGCGTTTCATGCAGACCGTTGATCGGATTAGGCTGGGAATTCCCAAAATCGAAGCTCGCTCCAAGAGCTTCAAAATGAGCCAAGTTGCCTCGCGAAAAGTTCTGCCATTACGGAGTTATGGCTCAGACAGCGTTTGCCTAGCGTTGGAGAGCTAGCATACTAGCGTTAACTCGGGTAGCATTGCACCGTCGAATCGCGCAGAAACGAAATTCCAGCAAGGAAGGAACTTGCTTGAATCAATTGACTATATCCAAGTACAAACAGAGAAGGAATAAATAGTTCTAGCTAGCAAGGACCTTGGGAATAAACCTGGGAACAACCAGGGATGATCCCAAATAATTCCAAGCAACAGAACCAACCTGGCTGGACAAAATAGCAGGTGGTAGGTTGGTGAACAACCTCTGGTTCTGTTTTTCCAACCTGAGGAAACAACAACCAGGTTCAGGTCCTAAAAAATAGAACCTGTTTTGTCTTTGCCAACCAGCCAAATGCTGGTTCTGCTGGTTTCCCCTGGCCCTGTAGCATGTAGATACAGACAAACAACATCCAACCTTCACCTAAATTGTACCCCTATAGTGCCTGCCCTGCTATACTGTAGTTAACCAAACAAAACATTACAATTTCGAGTTGGATAGAACTGAATATGCGAAATCAATTCAACCGAACCGCAAATGTTGTTGGTGTAAGGGCCTAATAAACTCAAGCTATTAAGACTTTATCACACTTAAAACCTCTCCTCGGGGTCACCCCCAAAGATCCTTGGGTGCCTGGTACAAGACCAGCCCCTATCATCGGGTCCGAGTTTGTAGAGAGAGGGATCAAGAGGGACTTAGTCAAAACAGCAAGAGTACCTTGAACGTCGCGCAGCGTATCGTGCAGACCGTTGATCGGATTAAGCTGAGAATTTACTACATCGAAGCTCACTCTAAGAGCTTTAAATAAGCCAAGTTGTCTCGCGAAAATTTTTGCCATTACGAAGTTATGGCTCGGACAGCGTTAGCCTAGCGTTGGAGTGCTAGCGTACTAGCGTTGACTCGGGTAGCATTCCGCCGTCGCACCGCGTAGAAAAGAAATTCCAGCAAGGAAGGAATTTGCTTGAATCAATTTCACTATATTCAGGTACAAACAGAGAAGGAATAAATAGTTCTAGCTAGCAAGGACCTTGGGAATCAACCTGGGAACAACCAGGGATGATCCCAAATAATTCCAAGCAACAGAACCAACCTGGCTGGACAAAATAGCAGGTGGTAGGTTGGTGAACAACCTCTGGTTCTGTTTTTCCAACCTGGGAAAACAAGAACCAGGTTCAGGTCCTAAAAACAGAACCTGTTTTGTCTTTGCCCAACCAGCCAAATGCTGGTTCCGCTGGTTTCCCCTGGCCCTGTAGCATGCAGATACAGACAAACAACATCCAACCTTCACCTAAATTGTACCCCTAAAGTGCCTGCCCTGCTACACTATAGTCAACCAAACAAAACAGTACAATTTCGAGTCGGATAGAACTGAATCTGCGCAATCAAGTAAGCCGAACCACAAAGCTTCCATCTTGGGTTCCTTTGCAAGCTCGTCCTTTCTGCTTGTACTGTTCATAGCGCGTACAATGTTATGCCGAAGCACACATTGTGCAAGTACCTGCAAATGCTTCAAGCGAAAATTGGAAAAGCAAACAAACACACGAACATACCATTCATACGCAAATGCATTCGCACACACTTACTCGTACAAATAGACGGCAGGATGTCGTGCGATGTGAATTTTGCACCCAACACACTCCTCCTCAGCCTGCCGGCTGCATCCCCATCATTCCATACTAGTTCATGCTCATTCCACTCATGCGCACACAACGCCAATGAGGCTCATCCGCAAGCCTCTTGGTGAGGAA